ACCACAGTAGCTTGTTGTAGATATGGTTCTACACACTATTTCGTCCACAAAATTCTGGCACTCTTTGTTTTGTGTGAAACCAACAACCACAATGTAAGGTCTCTGTATTAGCCCACCTTACGATAGTTCCTTCGATCGGCAGATCTATTGGTTCTTTGCATGTTTTTGCATCTCAGCTCTATGATTAAGCTCCCAACGATCGCTAATTCTGTGGTCATTCCTTTATGAACATCATATTCATGTTGTACTATGGTATGAACTGACTTCGCCTGGACAATCTGGCAGTACTCTGCCCACATACAAATCATGGAGCGTTTTTCTTTTTCATAAAGATTATTGTGCCATGAGTTGTTTGGCACATAGTCTGGATTCGGACGTGTGTGAATATATATATATATATATATATATATATATATACNTATATATACTTAGTTCACTAAACTGCTCTCCGTTACCACTCCATCACTGCCTTTTATTATAGATTTGGCGTTTATCTGAACCGGAACTGATTGCCAGTTTTAGTGGTAACATACACCATCAGGGCCGTGGTGCAGCCGCTGCGGTGGCTGCCGCGGCGTTGTTTCGCGGGAATCAATCTGCTGCTATTATTGCTGCCACACATCCGGGTGTCTCTCAAATTCGTCTACTGCCCGTCGTAACTGGTGCCTCATTATTGCATCAAGGAAAGCCCGCAGTTCCTCTCGGTTCCGAGCTCGCTCCTGACGGTTTGAGTTGTGCCCAGCATGAAAGTGAAAAGCATTCACTACTGTCCGCCTGCAATGCCTGTCGGTTTTTGAGCTGCGGTGCCGATGGAGGCCTGCGCATGCGATCATTTGTCGTGCGACCGAAGCCGTTCACGGTCGCTTAGATTATCTCGGACTATCCATTGTCCACCTACTTAACTTTGCATAATACCGAACTTGTTATTCATATAGCTCCTCATATTTATCCGTTGTGCTTTCCATTCACTTCGTTCAAACGTACCATATTTTACTCTCTTTATCCTGGATAGTCCATCCATTTTTCTCTGCCTTTGGTCCATGAAAACGCGTGCGGTGAATTTTTCACATTAGCATTCCAACTGTTTTGCTCATTTTGACGGTTACGTGTATCGTGCGGTTTGTTACGCTTATGCAATAAACACTACTTCTCACCACGATGCGAAAATCGCCGTTATCAACTCGTTTTTCGCTGGAGTACTCGGTGCTTTCTGAGTGTCCCTATCCTCGTATTAGTTTGCCTGTTTTCATCCTTACATAACCTGAGTGAACATTTACTTTTCGCGTCACTCAATTGTAGGTTTCATTTAGTCCGCTCCGTCTTTCTGGGATTCTAAATCGGACTAGGCTTTACTTGGTCTCCACTGAATAACCCTGCCACCGTTGTAACCACCCTCAGAGCATTGGTTTAGGCGCAACTAAGTTTGTTATACCTCGGGATCTCACAGAGCAGAAAAGCGAGCAAGCCCGCCTTCAGGGATTCATAACCACAATACGTACATCATTGATCATTCTGTTGGCGAAACCAGTGAAAAATATCTGTGTAATCATGTGCGAAAGCGTACTTTAGATCTTACTTCAAGAGTCTTGGAAAAATTTCTGCATGAATCGCACCCACTCCGTATCCAAGGATCATGTTCATCAGCGAAGAATCGCATTGCCATATCATCATCAACACAGCTATTGGCTGGCTTATTCGTAGGAAAACTAGTCATTACCGAAAATAATCTTTTATGTGAAATACGACTTGCTTTACCCATGGTATATGGACGCTGTAGACGCATGAATGACACCAGCGACTCTTGCTTAAACTCCAACAATAACGCGGAGAGAGAACACAGCTGGAGACAACAGTCAGCGTGTATTCCTTCAGCCAGATTTCGATACGCCAAGATGTAGAACAATCACGCACCCGAGGCAGGCCATACGCACGCTCACAACATTCCAGGCAGAATGCGCCCGATAGGATCGATCAGTCGATATGTCAAGGACGTATTTTGACTGGGATGTCTAGGCGCAGGTCTTGTATGCGTGCGTGATCTGACGGTCCATTTAAGCTCCGTCCTAACAGACGATACTCTGTGTTCGACGCTACAACTGAGTAAGTTTGATACGGACTTCGAAAAGAACATAGTTTAATACCTCTTGACTGGACCGCGAAGAAGTATTCACAACCAAAGCATCGGTGATCAGGTAACTTAGAAGAACGAGAAATTTGCATTCCACATGCATCGCATTACCTGAAGGCTCCTGTGAACCCGTGCGTATGCGCATGTGGGAGATGCTAGTGTATTACCCGAAGTGACTCGATTCCCCTCGTTGGAGTCATAACCCAATCTGTAACGTTCGTTATCGTCGTCAAGCTTTAGAACCCACTACCTCCTCAATTATCTACAACTGCAACAACGTTAAGTTGTATGTTTATGAACCACTTCAAACTAGTTGTCCTTCATAGCTTTGAATCAATTTCAATGTTACGCCCGTCAGGCACACAGGCAACTACCAGATTTGTCTCCGTCTTATATGACCGGAAGAGCTGCGGTGAAGATGCCTAAGGTCCTATGTATTTAGACCCAATGAAACACGAATCAACTGCTAA